CCTGTCAGTTTTATGCTATTTATTTGGATTTCCGTTTTTCTCTTTCCAAAGGCCTCACTCTTTATTGTCCTTTTCATTCCTCAACCTGAGTAATACTCTGAGGGAATCACATCAGTGTCCATATTGGTGCATTGAACTTTGCAGAATTTAAAGTCAATAACTAACCTCAGAACTAGATACTAAATTGTAAACTCTTCATAGGCAAGGACCAAATTTTAATTAACTCTATGTCCTTAGTGCCTAGCCTTGTGTCTGGCACATATAAGGCCTTTAATAAATGTTTATTGATTGAATGAACAATTGGCTTTGAATATTTACTGAGAACCAGCATTGTCATGGATGTTATTCATAACACAGAATTTGCTTCTAGTTTCTGCCCAGGGGACAAAACTTATGACTTGTTCTTTTTTTCTGGAGACTGGACAAGGATGGAGAATAACCACTGGATTGTTGCTAGCACAACATTTTTATTCAGCCAAAGAAGCTTTTCTGCATGAGGCGGTAGTAGTAGCAGTTGTGCTCCATCTGGCATTTATAAAAAGGTATTCACTGGGGACCTCCTAGGTGCTGGGTGCTGGGCTATCCAAGTCAATCCAGATCGAAAGACCTGGTCATTGTCACCATCTGTCAAGGCAATTGTAATCAAAACAGTGAGTCTGTCCTTATTCTTTTTCCCAAACACACTCAACTGAAGACTCTATGAAGCAAGCTGTCGACAAAACAACAAATGGAAGTTTATTTATTCATTCCTTTACTCAGCCAGCTAGGCAGCACTCCAACCCATTACTTCACAAAGAATATACTTCTTCTGAGATTTTGTTAAAATTAGATATAGATCTACTAGGTCTAGGGTGAAGCCTGAGAGTCTTCATTTCTAACAAGCTGCCTTAGTTAGATCAGGCCTTGGTACTTAAAGTGTCATCCATGGACCAGTAGGTTTGGCATCACCTGGAAGCTTATTAGAATCTTAGGTGCCACCCAGACCAATTGAAGCAGAACCTGCATTTTATCAAGATCTCGCTTTGACATTTGATAAGCACTGCTCTGACCATTTAATTAGCTGACAGTATAAATTATGGGCAGGGGTCCCAATGGGGCTCTGGGTTGGAAAAGTAAGGCCAGGTGGATTTACTTTCCCTTTTTAATTTCAAAACTCTTTGGGGTACCTGTGCCAATATGGAATGTGGCACTTGGAAAAGACACAAAAGAGTACCGCTTTGTTCAGTCATTCAGTGGCATGGCAAATCTGTTATTATCCATCCTGGATTGCCCTTGTCTTTATACATGGGGGCCCCCCTGACAAGCCTATCCTTTCTTAAGAGATTTCACTTTAGGTGAAAAAGTTTCACTCAAAGACACATCCTCATGTCTGACTGTGTCAGAATGATTAACAAGTTTGGACCAAACACCAGGAGATCAGAGTTTCTGTTTCCTTGTCTATAAAATGGAGATAATAATAATACCACCTGTTCTAGCTTCCTTTGTAGTCTTTTTGTGAGGAGCTTTGAAATATACATGTGCAGGAGCTTTGAAAACATAAAAATGTTCATGAGATTTTAAAACAGCTTCAGTGAGAAAAAAGTCTTCTATGTTTCAGTGCCGGAGAGATATGGGTTCAAAATTTAGTCTTACCATCTACTAACTTTGTGATTGCTGGAAAATTATTTTATCTAGTTGAAACCTCATTTTTTTTTTTGTATATCAAATGGTCATAAAAACTTCCACCATACAAGGTGTGGTGGGAGGATTAGAAATGTAAATAATAGATGTAATGGGTCTGGTGCATAGTCATGTTTAATAAATGGTGGGCAACAGCAGCATGAAGGGATTCGACTGAGAAATAATCCTCCAAAGACACCTTCTCTCTCAGGTAAGCCTGTTAAGTTGGGGCAAAAAGGGAGGGTGATTTAAGGTTTTGGAAAAATGCCCATCTAGTTCAAGAGATTGGTATCTTGAAGTTTGTTGTTTAAGTATCTCTACAAGAAAAACCCCCAAACTTCAAACAAGGTTTTAATAATTATTTAACTATTTGGGAGTGCCAGTCACTGCCAGACTTTGTGATGGGGAGAATTTGCTGTGATTATTTTGTCTCGTTCACATGCCCCGGTCAGAGGTGCCAGGCGGACTTGCTGATGGTGTCTGCAAAGGTTTCTACATTGGTGTCCATGCAACCAGACACTCTGGGCCACTGGAAACAGCAGAGTTAGTGGTACCAAGGGTCATGTAAGGTGATGAAAGAAGGTTGATCCGAGGACTGTGGGAATTGATGGTGCCCTCATTATCAGAATAACAGAACAGCAAGTCTTATTTGCTCAAGACATGAGGAGGCAGCTGTTGAGTGTTTACTGCTTTACTATCAGCAATTAACATTTGAGACATAGACTGTTGTGTACTTTTTTTTTTTCTTACCATCCTTTCTCTGTGTTCCCACCCTCCAGTTCTTACTTCTCTTTTGGAAATGCCATTTTAAGGCCTTCCGTTTTCTTAAGCCTCTTTCCAGCAGACTAAGCCTTTGGGAGGTATTCTTTTGAAAAAGAGATTGCCCCATTCTTTCCCTAGAGTTTGCAGAGCTTGTGTGCTGAGATCCTTGCAGGTGACATTGCAAAGTACTCAGGAGTGTGTGATTTCACAGACAGCCTCAGGCACAGTGTCATGTGATCTGCTTTTCCACATGTATCTCTTTGTGGGGAGTGTGTATGCTCAATGTCATATGAGGAGGGAAAATAACCACGTCACAGATATGGCATTTCAGTGAAAGCCTATTAGGAAGAGGGTGGGGTGAAGAGGGAGAAAGCGAGTTGGCACAGGCTGCAGGGAGTGGGGGGAGAGGCACTTAGCGACAAGATTAGCAGTTCTGAGCAAAGAGCAGGGTCTGTAAGAGGCAACTGGGATGTCTCAGGTGTATTGTTTTGCCTTCATAACTTTAGGTTGAAAGCATCATGGAGCCATATTTGAGTGTGGAATGGAGTGTTTTTTCTAGGTAGAGAAAAAACAATTCTATAGGATCGTACTCCAAGTCCGTTTTAACGGATTTCATGATGGGCTCTTCTGAATCTGGCTACAGCTGTTGGCTGATTTTGTTAGGGCTTGACCTATGGTGAATCAGTTATCTCTTCTCTATTTGAAGGCCACAGGACACAGCTTTCACTTCCAGCCAATCTATACCAGCAGTCTTTGGGGAATATGTGGATAGAAGCTCTGGTTAAAGGGAGCTTCATGAACCAGCAGGAAAGACAGGTTAAAGGCCATTACTTTTTAAAATATAAGGCCACATGGAAAAAGCATTTGCTAGGAGTCAAAAAACTGGATTTTAATACCAACTGTGCCCCCTGCTAGCTATGGGACCTTAATAGACACGTAATTTTATCTCTTGGAGATCTAGGGGGGAGGATGCCTGCTGAAAATCTGTAAACCTCATCAGATTTTTGTGAGGGTCAATAAGATAGTGGAGAAGAGAACACTGAAGACTTCAAAGCTGTGCTGTCCAATATGGTAGCCACTAGCCATGTATGGCTATTTAATTAAATTAATTAAAATTAGATGTAATATAAAATTCAGTTCCCCAGTCACACTTGCCACATTTCAAGCGCTCAGTAGCCACATGTGGCTAGTGGGTATCCTACTGGACAGGATAGATAAAATGTGTGTGTTATCTATTACACAAAGTGCTATTAGACAGCTCTGCCTCAAAGTGCGGTATGATAAGGTGTGATATTAAGGATAGATAGGATGGCACATTGTAGGGGTGACAAATGCTGTCATAGTTAGGCATCCTTGGAAAGAAACAGAACTCACTTGAGTTAGCTGAAACAAAATAAGGGATTTATTTGGCTAGTTCAGGAAAAACAAATGTGTCCCAAAAGGTGGGAGGCACAGCTGGGCTTCAAGAGGAATTGGAACTGGTTTCTAGAAGATTATCAGGAACTAAAGAAGCCAGAAGTTGCTCTTCCCTTCTTACTACCTCTCTGTTTTTCTCTTGTCTTCCTCTCCTTGAGGCCACTTGGGCTCTTGTCTCTGTTTCTCTATGTATCAACAGCTTCCTCCCCTTCCTCTTCCTTCTCTCCCCCAACCTTGGCTCTGTAGACCAGCTGTCTCAACTCCACTACACATGGTCCAAACAGGGTTCAACCAGACCCAGTTCTATCACCTCTCATGAATAATACCCAAGAAAGGGTAGGTTCTGATCCCAAATTCCCAGGAGAGACATTCTTATTAGCCATTCTTGGTGTGGTAGCCGCCCCCTCCCATCAGTGGTCCACAGGGTAGTGGCCCCATACTTACTCATCAGGAGCAATGGCGGGGTTGGGGCTCAAAAAGGAGCCCATGTGGAATAGGGCCAGGTCATTGATCAACACCATAACATCTT